TATAAGTCATAACCAGGGAACAGTTTGAATGCAAATTGCATTTTTTTGCATTTTTAAGACTTTAATGCATTTTTAGAGCATATTTTGAAATTTTTAGTGCATTTTGTGGTTTTAAGTCATTTTTTCCACATTCATTCTAAAAAAAAATTAAAATACCTAAATATGTATTATTTTACGAAATTACGAAATGATTGTTGACACGTGTAGACACAAAATATATACATACAAGTTACAACAGATTATTACCCACATTAAGGTAAAGATAAGAGATAAGATACGATAAACTATTTATCTAGAGTTAATTAATTAAGGTTGTATTGTATTTAAATATTTTTTATTAGATTTTTCATAATAATGTGTTTTTTTATAAGTTTTAAATACAAAATTTTGTTTTTATTGAATATAAACCCATTTTTTAAGTTTTATAGGTCATTTTTTTAAGGCATTTTTCTTGTTTTTTAGAGCATTTAAATCCGTTCCGTCATAACTATATAATTATTAATTAATATTATTGATAGATAGGTCACTTATTTACTTTCATTTCAATAATAGATATCATTAGGTAGAGTATTTTAATATTAATATAACGCAAACTAAAAATGTTTCTTACAGAACATTCCATGAATAGTATTATAATTTTTTATTTTCATTTTCCTCTAGAACTTCTAGTAAAAACTATTAATTGTATCGTAATATATATATATAAATATATATTTTATTTCTAAGTAGTTACCACACACACYGGTTTCGGCTTTATTGACTACAATATGTTTTTATTTAATTTAAACATTTAAATAAATATAATATACACATTTTAAAAGAACATAATATTAACATCTTACTTACATTGAACATCGCCTATTGAAAAAAATACAAGTTACGGTATTTAGGTATGATATTATGTAATTTATAAAGTTTTGCTATTTCAGTTGTATTTATTTGATAGTTTCAAAGATTTTATTGTGCAATATTAATAAAATCAGCCCAAAAATATTATCTGAGAGAAAACTTCATTGCTCACCCATTTGAATGAGTTAAATATCTTAAGGCATGATATATGTAGTATGTTATTATACTAATATATTACGTATACTTATAGCTATCGGGCTATTCAGTATTATTTACGTACATTTTTATTTAGTTACCTAACAAAACTTGTTTGGGTTTTGGAAACACGATCAAACTATTTCACTGCAGAGCTCATAACCAACAAATTAAATCGAAACCTAAATATACTTTGATTTATTTTTTTTAATGATATAATGATAATATCGATACATTCATATTTTATTTGTAATGTTATACTTGCTTCGACAGTATATTATATAAATTTAAAAAAAAAAAAAAAAAACTGTAACATTACAGAGAAGATTAGCATGGCCTCTGCGTAAGGTTGACACGCACAATTGTGAACTATTCCATATTTTTTTTTCTTAATTTTTCTCAGTGCATGATCCATAAGCTCATATTATATAATTTTAATATTTAAGCAACTTAATATAGTTATAGCTGATGTCTTATTCTATATTATTTTATTTCTAAATTTTATCTAGGTAGGTATATATTATATCACGGTTTAATATGTTATGTAATCTTTTATGAATAGTAATAATGTAATAATACAATACATTGTATCTAATTAACAACTCAATATGGTGAGTAGTCCACCTTATRTATTTTTAATTCAGTTGCTTATAAGCACAATGTTTCTTAAAAATCAGTTATTGATATACGTCACATACTTAMGATAAAACATGCTAAAAACAAATAAGTGTTTATTTTTACGTAGGACCGATGAGATATACGTTTCAGATTCTCATTCTCATTCTCATTTTCTGGAACCGAAGGACAAGATCGGAGAAATAATTTTGCTATTTCGATAAAAACAATAAATTAACACTAAAATACTGCTTAAGGATTCACGCATGTTAGTGTATTTGTGYGWATGTGTGTATGTTGCACAATTTCTTACACGAACACGATTGAGATCACATGAAGAATGGTWTGACCGCATGCATTTCCAAAACCTCGATAAAATGTAGAATGTAGACTATAAATTATTGTTTTTGTTGCATACTATAAACAACCATGAAAATCTCCAACGCACCTTTTATTTATCAAATATCAAATTAAACGAGAACTGCTTTTTCTTATAGGTTAGTTGTATGTTGATTATCAATTGGTTGATCTGTGCCCTAATTATTCCTATGATAGTTTAACAAGCKTATGATGAGTTTTGGTTCACTGTATTTTACTTCTGCAACATATTCTCAAAAATTGTTTCTTACGCGCTAACGTACACCTCATGAAGAAAATCTGTCAGTTAATTTACATATTATTGTAGAGAATATTAACTTATAGTGTAACTTATAAGTAATAATCTATATTGTTAATGGTAGGTTCGACCTGCGTGTATTTATTTACTCTAAAACTCGGGCTATGGCATATGAAAATATTATTAATAGTTTCCATTAAATATACATATCGATATTGCTATTTTAAACGGTTTCCATACCCTGATTAGCAAGGTTATTATCTAATAGTTATTATTTTTTTTTTTTAATGGAGAACATATTATTTTCAAAACAATTATCAATATTGTAAAATAAATACTTATTCTGAACTGTCAAAGTCCATTTTCATTAAAACTTTCACTTATAAAAATAAAAAAATTAATTTCCGTATTAAATCAATACCTACCGATCCCTACAATATAAGCACCGCATAATAATATGATATCATATACTTATAGTATTAATGAGCCAAAATATTAGTAAAATCTAAAATATACATAATATGTGAAAWGCGAGTTGTATGAACACATTAATATTGATAAGACACATGTCTAGTCAATACAAATTTGGATGATATATAATATTATAAGCATCTAAATGAATTTAAAATGCTTGATAAAACCTTAAATTATTATTTTGATTTATATTTATTGACATTTCAAAAATGTTAATTTTAATAATTATTTTCCGTTATTATATATTATTAATGATAGCTGATTGCCATGCACTTCTATTCTGGTCGTTCAAATAATTTAAATTAAGCTAAACAATTAAAAATAGTTATGCCTACTTATAATATTAACCTTTTTACCAACAATTGAACACTATAAGACTACACGTATATTAACTAATAATGGATAACTCCATTTCATCCTTTAATAATGCATTTATTAAAATTCTGATATTCAGAATTTTTTAAGAATACATTTATGAATATATTTTCAAATACTTAGAATATACAATTTAGGACAATGGGGATGAACAATTATATACATATATACTGTYTTCATTATTCCCCCTAAACATAATAACAACCCATTTTTTATTACGTTGGTATCATATAATATATGTGGCTTCACATATTATCATTGTGTGTCATATATAATTAGATACTTGATCGTACAAACCTAGTAATTATCTATAATAATGTATTGGTAAAAAGGTGTATTCAGTGATCATCTATATTATTAAGTGACTAAACAAGTTAATTCAAACTACTTTAAATACGTGTCAATACGAATAAAGTTATTGATAATCATAATACCTAGCTATATCTATTTCAGAATAAAAAAATAAAAATTATAATCGGCATACAAACTTATACTGTAAATTGTATATCTCGTTAATTGTGATAAAACAAGCATCATTTTAATGTTCCATTTGTAAAATAAAATTTAATTTATCAATTAATGTATAATATTATTCCTATTTCAGTGACATTTATTGCTTTAGCGCTTAAAAACTGCAGCGATCAACAGATCATTTCAAACAATATATTATATAGCTKATTGAAGGATTCAGTATTTCAACCAGAATTAAAAAATAATAACACTTTAACAGTCTAAATTAAAATCAGGGATTCTCATATGAATATATCAAACACATTATAAGTTAATACCTGCATTATTGTCACCCTCAAGGAACAAATATTTTATTTTACATAATCCCGAATTAACACAAAATAAATGTGATACGAATACCATACAATACAATATATTATAATTTAAGCGTTTGTTATCGGCCGTTATGGATTTAAGGGTATTACTTTATTATATTTTGTTTTGCTTCTGTCTCTGATGATAAAAATAAACATTTGGTATAGATAGCCCACGTCATGAATGGGTAGGTTATCTTTACGTTATTCGCCAAGATTTAAAGTTGGATTTAAATTATACTATGATGGTACAGTCTGTTATAATAATGATAATCCTAATAAAAATAATCCTAATTTAAAAACGGCAATGATCTCCTATTTAGTAATAGTGAGGGTAGACTATTATAGCTCAGTGATCCTAACATTATTATATAATATTGACAGTATTGTACATTTGTATTAACTTTTGAGTTAATAACTGGGCCATTTAATTATTCTGAATAGGTTCGTAGTACCTATGCTAATAAAAATAGGCAATAAGCAATATAAATAAAAATAATAATCTAATATCTAAATATAGGCAATATAACTTAAAATCAATTCAAATCTTTTGAAAATATCATTTATGTACATAAAATATAGTAATATAAAAAAATCTGAACTTCAAACTCTAATAAAGAAAATTAGATATTTAAGCAAAACATGTTTCTATCATAATATAGAAGCCGTGCAATTATTAAAATTATTGAACAATACCGATAATCTAACTTTGATATAATATTTTAAAAAAAAACAATATCTTGTGGTTGACGCTTGAATCATAAATAATTATTGATTACGAGTAGATATCATTCTATGTATTTGCTTGTAATAAAACCATCATTATCGTAGGAAAAATGTCACTTCAATGACTAGCAAAACGCTTGGCGACCAGATTGTTTAAAATAAATAATAATTCGTAATGCACTGAAAAGTCAAAACTATGARGTAGCATGTGTAGCTGATCAATGTACATTACACAAGTGTCGCGTCGCTTGAGATTTTCGTAAACGTTTGCACTACATCGGGACGTCCCTCACAATCTCTGCAGTGGTCGAGTTGACGCGGTCGTGATGACAACTCTGGCGACGGCTTCCACTAAGACGCTGGCGTCCGATACCGCTGAGATCATGGCCCTCTCCAAGCAGATCACCCGTGCCCTGGAATGTCCGATATGTTTGAACCTCATGTCGGCAATGTCGTGCTTCTGCCCCAAGGGGCATGCGCTGTGCAAGCCGTGCACGCTGACGCTGTTGGACACCGTCGGTACGAGTAATACCGCCATACCGTGCCCGCTGTGTCGGACGATGATGGTGCACTTGTCGAGCATTTCGGCAATGACCGTCAAATTGGGCCAAATGTTCGCTTTCGTGAAGGTGGCGTGCCCCAACCAGTCGTTCGGTTGCTCCGAGCTGGTGCCCGTGCAGCTCTTTGACGAACATCAGTCCGAGTGCCGGTATGTTCCGGATGTGCAGTGCCAGGTAGGCGCGTGCCAGTGGGTCGGCATGTGCGAACAACTGTACGAACACGTTCACAACGCGCACACCGGTATCGCCCTTCAGACTCCGGTAACGATTGCAATAATATTATTTATTCCGATGATAATCGTTTGCGCAGAGTACGCAATTTTTTACCTGTACTTAAACTGACAACTCGTTTGCGTACATTGAAAAACCTAACCTAACCTAACCTAACGTATAGAGCAAATTTCGATAAGATACGCGTAATTGATTAACTAGTGTGCGGTTCTAAACGATAATGTGATTTTGGATAAATGTGTGCGTTATTGACGACCGCTGGATGTTACTATATGCCTATTATTTAGTCGAACATGTGATGCTATCGAGATAGCATAGTCATTTTAATTCGTGTAGTACCATGGACATTCAAATATCAAATGTTTTTGAAACGCGCAGAGGAAAACRTTGTTTTAATATTGAAAACTATAAGTATAGTGACTTTCGTGTTTTAAAATCAGKTGATCTGTTGTTGAGATGTAAGGAAAATGTTTGAAAACAATCTTAAACCTTATTTTTGTTAAGGGTTTAAGTAGACTTTTGTTATAGTTTATGTACGCAAACGATTCCTACGTTTTGCAGGGTCATTTATCACAGGTATTAAAAATTCGTGCGCGCAATCTAGTTGTACATTTGTATGCGAACGAGTTGCAAAAAAGGTTAAATATACGCAAACGGGTATCGCCCATTTATACTATAAAACCACAAGAGTTAACTGCACAAAATAGTGCTGGTTGGACCTCTCTTTCCCACAACAAACGTTGTCTCATTTCAACACAAAGTGCATGTGCATGACTCAKAGCAGTGTAGCCATCTGCGTTTTTAATTACTATATTCATTATTGTCACTATTTATTATTTATAAGCTCGTTGACATGGATCCAATCCAGTAAAATAAAATTGGAATATTTTTTTATAAAATTAATTTTTAATAGGCAACGAAGTGCGCGGGATCAGCTAGTTATTAATATAATAATTTGGACGATATGGAGGCACGATTACGCTAACCCGGGGTAGTATGACTGCAGCCCACGACTGAAGATAGTAAGGTTGCGTTCATTATAAAGTATTATTATGTTCTTATCAAAATATTCACATCCTAAATATGTATACCTCAGCTGTAGATAGTGTCTATATCCGTTCTGAAGCTTACAATGTCTCGACTAAACGCACTATCCCATCAGAAGCCAACGCGGCCGATTRCTGCTGTACTAGGGACAGACGGAAAATAGGTTTTTTGCTTTTGTGGATGTTACAGAACACATTTTTTCGAATCGATTTGTTGAATTTACTATGAGAAGAATAATACAATTTTATCATTATCAATCGTATACTATAAACAATAATAATATTATGTTAACTGTAAAAATTATCTCTTCCTGTGTCTTTTCAGGGGAACCGGCTGAAATTGACCGGWATTCAAAAAATCTTGAAGAACCGTCGTCAGACGTACCTAGTCCAGTCAACGTATGGTATGTTTTGGATTCTGTTGGCGCGGAAGACGCGGTTACAAATTCAGACCGGACTATTTATGGTGGGCAATACTTGGAGCAGTCAAAAATCGASATCAACACGCTACCGAAATCGCGCCAACCCKTGGTTACCAGACATCGTGTACCGGGTAACGTGGTTCGACTGCAACGGCCATAGAAGTACTAGAAGCAAAACGATGATGGTAAAATGGAGTACAMCCCTGAATGAAGGCGACCCCACGGTATTGACTGACGCGTATTCCACGTCCAGATTCAATTGTAATAGCCTGGAAATCAACTGGTGTTCGTCCATGCAGTATTATTTCAATCACTATACAATCCCCATTGACTTGACCACCGAAAGCCAGTGACTGTGTGCGTGTAAACTG